CTTTAAGAAAGGCGCGGCAGTTAACAGCATGAATGAACTGACCTGCACTCCCCCATTCCCTGTCCCCCTATGCCGCCGGGGGGGAGGTAGAGCCAGGAAGGAAAGAAAATAGGGGGTGGGGAGGAGGTGTTTTAAGATCTGGCCTTGTTTTCTCTTTTCTCCTCTCAAGTAACCGGTTTCGTTCCCTTATGTTTCTTGTTAAGTAACTGTTAATAAATTGTTTTGTTTTATGAAGAAAGCCTGAGTCATGTTTTGCCCGGGACCATGGTTGGTGGGTGCTCCCTCTCGGTTCTTGTCTCAACCCTCAGTCCAAAAACCACGACAGATGTTTGTGCTAATTCCCCTTTGTCCTTGGGGACAATATTCTCAAGAACCAGAACAGCTTAATCTGGTCTTACACAGGTCAAAACTTCCACGCAAGTAAGAGACTCCCGGAGTTGGGTGTTTTCACACTGCATCGAAGCTGAGCTCTATGGGAGTTTCTCCTGATGTCCTGCATATGTTGGATCTAAAACATCAATGGTGTCTGGACAATGGATAGCTTTCATGTAAGAGCCTCTGGTCTATCAGTAATTATGAATTTCTGCATACCAAAAAAACACAAACTCTTCAGCTGAGTTCTCTGAAAAAGCAGTTTGGCTTTCTCATGTTGTAAGACCAAATAAACAGATTACGTGTGTTTATTAGTTCAAATAATCTTGAGTAAAATTGGAAATGTAAGATAGCTGGAAATGAATATGGTGGGAATTTTAGCTCGAGCTCGAGAAACAGTGATTTCTTTCTGGCTTTCTGTTCTCAGTTACTTCCAAATACATCATGTTAAGATGATTGCTTTGAATCAATGTCTATATCAATAATTTATTTAGAATTATTGAAGTAGTAGAAGCAATGATTGTATTTCAACTGAACAAGCAGTTCAGCATCACTGGGGAGTGTCTGCCCTCTTTAGGTGGTTTCCCTTGAAGACTCAGGCAAGAAGGAATGCTTGTCGCCTGGGACAGCAGCTGATGCGAGTGAAGACAGGCTTTGGAAGTCTACTGGTTTAGTTCATTACTGTTTGTTGGAGAAAGAGAATGTGGCTGGGTACTGGAAGAGGCTTTGCTGCCTTCGCGGCTATAGCTATGGGTTCAGCCATGGCTGGGCTGTAGCTGGAGTTTACTTGATTGCCAGGGAACACAGGAGAAAGAAGCAGTGATACCAGGAGCTGTCTGTGTGTGTGCGTGATCTC